CATCTGCTTCATTGCAGTATCTCAATGTCCAGCAAAGCGCCTGGTATGAAGAAGGCGCTTGGTACCATTTGCCAGTGTAGCTGAATGAGGGAAGTGCCATTAGAGGTTAATGGGGAAAGACGGTGGGCTCCACTCAGGGGCCAGGCCCACCATGTGCAAAGCTGAGTCTTGCAGGGAGCTGAGCTGATGACTCCAAGACTTTGCCATGCCTGGGGGCATCTGTATGCCAGCTGTTACCATACCCTTCTCCCATAACCTGCCCAGACCTCAAACCAAGGCTGCTAACCTCAGCCGGCCATGCCTCCGGCTCTGAAGACTTTCTCGAAATCCCTTGAGGCAGCTGCCTCCCTGTGCCCCATATCCCCAATTTAGAGCATTCTTCTCTCTGCTGCCAGCCAGCTTGTTACGATGCAGATTAAAGAAGTTCCCGGGGGAATGTGCAATTCAACAGGGACAGCTCCAGACACCTGCTTCCCCCAAGGGATGGGCAGCCAATAGAAGACGGTTTTCAATTCTATAAACAGATAATTGATCACCTGTGACAGCACGGGCACCGCTGGGGTACCGGACAGGAAACTGAGGGGAGTAAGCCAGTCTTTCTCTTCCAAAGTTCCCAATCCAGGAGGATAAAACGCCCTCTTCCAAAGTTTGTGTGGACCTTCTGGATTGAAAATCAAATTGACGAAATGCCAAGGCAGAGGTGGTCTCTTAGCGAGGCCTTGAAGGAAAAGGAACAAACCCATCAACAGGCAGAGGTGGGTTAGGGACCAGCCTGGCTGGTTACTCTCTTTCCTAAATCATCTGGACAGGCCTATTCCACTAACTACAACAGGAATGAAAATAGAAAGCAGCTCCTAGTTGGTCATGGTTACCTACTCCAGCAGCCCCTCCCTCTCCTAGGTATAATTTGCATGGGGTCACTGGGAATCCCAACCAAGGATCCAGGGATGCTGTGTAACCTCCTTGTCCTCGGTCTGAAGGGGAGTCATTTCACCCTTTTGGAGCTCAGAAGGAGCCTCTGTGTAATGAAGACCAGACCCTGCCTTATGCAGCTTTTGAGGTGTCAAGGAGATTGGACAGTTTGTAATAAACCAAGACGAGCTGGTTAGCTGGGTCACTGGTGCATTTGGGTGCAAGCCAGGAATGCAGGGGTCAAGGGTCAATCTTTGAGAAGCAGGTGTGATCAATTTGCCTCTCTTCCCAAAGCACAAGGAAACGTTCTCTAAATTCGACCAGCAGCTTCAAAATGGGAGGCCGCTGGTCACAAGGGAGCCTGGGCACGAGATGGGCGGGTAGCTTGGTGCCATCTCACAGGTCCTTGGCATCAAAAGGCCTTCCCTAACCTGGTTTAAGGGCTGGGCTAGTGCCCCTCCAGCCACGACCTTCGTCCAGCACTCCTCAGATCGTATTAGATGATGGATCAGCAGAAGATTAGGCTATTTAAGAGCAAAGGTGGGTTTCAGATGTCTGTTTTCCATTAAAGTATGCTTAGCACGTGCAGTAAACCTCTCAGTATTTGTCCAATGGCCAAACGGATGCACAACCCTTCCAAGTTGCCAGCCCATCCAGACTGCAGTTGTTTGCTCCCCTTACTCTGGCTTTGCAAATAAGAACCAAGAGTTTCCCAGTCTACACACGGGTTTGCTGTAAGTCCACTCCCCGGCAGTTACAATGACCTGAACGGTCCAAGCACCAGCAACTTTCCCCAGTCTCCTTTGCTAGCACAGCACAGGCCAGGAGATCATTTTTGGGTCCCTAAAGGCGCCCTTTCTGCCTGTAACTTAAGTAGACAAAGTACATCATTCAGAGGCACCCAGGTAAGCAGATCACTCCAAAGGGAAAAAAAAAAAAAAAAAAACAAATGCAGGAAAAAGCCCTACCCCACAAGTAAACAGCCGAATGGTGGTTGGGAAGGGCTTTCTGACATTTGCAGAGGCCCAGGATACAGGTGGCTCAGCCGGACCTCCTCAAAGGCCCTCCCAGTCCACAGGGCCCTGCTGGGCCATTTCCTCCCTGGTGCCCATTCTCAGCCCCTCCTCCCTCAGCCCCAATCATGTTTCAAAGCATCCTGTCCCCTAATTAGGCGCCTTTCTCCATATCCCTGAGGACCAGGTACAGAATCCCCTGCTGGCCTGTGACTGACTGTAGACACGGCAGCCACGGGCAACTCCTTCTGAACCTTAGTATCCTCTCTGTGACTCGGGAACCAAAATGACAGCACCTCACAGGGTTATTCTGATGATTAAATGAAATAAAATGCAAACTCTGGTACACAGTTGGATGTGAGCGTGTCCTGCTGCCTCCACTCCGCAGTTCCCCGTGTCCCTGTATGTAAACCATCTCAGTCTGCCCTACCTGGCCTCAAAGCAGCCAGACTCTCACTGGAAACAAAGAAAACTCCCTCCCTCGGGGCGAAAGGGAAGGAGGAAGGATCTAAGTTAATGGCCAGGGAAAGCTGCCAGCCAGCTGGACAAGCTGGCATGGGGGTGGGGGACAGGCTGCAGTCGGAAGGTACAGCCTCCTAGAGCAGAAGCTGGGTCCTTCTACGACCAGCCACATGACCTCTGGGCAAGCTCCTTTTCTTCTCTGTGTCTGTTTCCTCAACTGTGAAACCTGGTCAATCTCTCTGTCCCTACTTCTTCACAGGGTCTTTGGGAAGAAGGGACTCTGCAGACATTTGGGACAGTGATCAAGGGTGAGGGCCCAGAGGTCCTGATACTTGGGTGGGCACAGACAGTGTCCAACACTGTTGCTTCCTGGGGGGTGACTGCATGCCTTGGGCCCAGTTTTAGAGTCCCCACACCAGGCTCCACACAGTGCTCACCTCCCCCTACAACAGCTCTTTTTTCCTGCCAATCAAACCTCCTTGCCTTTTCGAAGCCAAAATCTCTCTTACCGAGAGAATGCCCATTCCAGTTTACTCTCCCTTTCCAATTCTGCAACTCACCTCCCTCAGAAAGCCTTCCCAGATTAGGCACACCCAGCCTTAAAAGCTCTTCTTTCCGGCAGAGCCCGAACATTTGTTAAGCTCTTGGAGGGCAAACGCCACCCCATGTGTCTTCTTCATGGCCAGTTAGTGCCTGGCACACAGTCGGCCCTCAGGAAATTACTGGTTAAACCTGTACTTATCGGATGGGTTCACAATTGTTAGAAGTTTCTGTTGTTAAACATTTAGAGTTAAAAATACCTCACTATGCAGGAGAGAGTCCTGTCATCCCACATGGGACTAGAAGACTTGGTGGCCAGGAGCCCTGTCATCCCCTTCTTGTAACAGGGGTACACCACCTGTACTCCAGGCTGTGACCAGGCTACCTTCATTCAAACCCCTTGCTTAATCAGACTGCACCATTATTTTGGGCACTGGGGCAGAGCAGCACAGTGGGTAAGAGCAGGGGCTTTGGTGTTTGGGTCCTGGCTCAGCCACTTACTAGCTATGGGACCTCCGGAAAGAAACTTCTGAATCCTGATGTCTTTTCCTCCAAAAATAAGGAAAATACCTATTCACCCAGTTGCTGTGAAAAGCAAATGAGAAAATGCAGTTGAGTCATTAGCACAGTGGATGGCACGTATTAAATGCTAAAAAATAGAGGCTTTGTTAGTCCGACATCATGACACTCGACCCCTAGCCCCGGCTGCAGCCTGTATGGCCGGCCGCCTACATCCTTTTTCCCTCTTCTGGGTCCAGTCTTGCCTTTTTCTTCTGCAGAACACAGTGTACAAAGAAAACTCAGTCAGACAGGGAGGAATTACAGAGGGGGAGGGTACGAGTGTGCACAGTGGACGTTAACCCTTCCTTCTGGTAGCCAGCCTAGCCAACTACCTAGATCATCCCTTTCAGGAAGATGAACCCATCTTCCTGAATGGTCTTTCAAGCTCCATTTTCCCTCCTCAGGCCTCTTCAGCCCCGAGGGGAACCAGGACTCCAACCTCACTCATTTGGAATTAGAATGATGAGTCCAAGCCACTCCTGTTGTATATTCTGAACTGGGCACCAAAGGCTGCTGCTGTGTCCTAACGAGTCTCAGTGTAGGGGAGCCAGAGGTAGCAAATGAAAAGTACAAAACGTTCCCATTTCTCTTTGAATTTCAGAAACACAACGAAGAACTTTTCAGTATCAGTACGTCTCATGTCATGTTTGGGATAAACCGATACTAAAAGGTTGGGTGTTGTTTACTGAAAGTTTAAATGTAGTGGGCATCTGATATTTGATCTGGAAGCTGCCCTAGGACTCCTACCCTAAGGCATAAAGATTAAAGTCTTCCCCCTGCTCCACAGCTGACTGGCCTTACCAGCCAAAATGGAAGCAGCTCTCCTTCCAACTCCTAAGCAGGGCAGATGTGCTAAGCAGGACCCCTTTCCTGAGCTGCTGAGCCGGGTTGACCTGCTGTGCCAAGGTGCCCAGTACAGGGCCAGGCACACAGTAGGTGCTCAATACGTGTCCCCTCTCCCCATTCATTCCAGGCAGCTGGAGTCTAGTATCCCACCCAGGAGTGGCTTTGACTATGAGAGAGGGGTGGTCCCAAGAGCAGCATGGAAATGGGTGGGACTGGGAGGTCACGGCCACCCACTCCCTGAAGTTGCTTTGACTATCACATGAGAAAATGGCTTGGGATATGTTCTATAAATCCCTGGGCTGCACGTAGGTTATTATCAAGACCTTTGAGGGATGCATGTTAACCACAGGGCCTCGGTCTCCAGTCTTCCCTGAGGAGGGGGACTGGACAGGGAAGTTTTAGAAGTACAGAGCAGAGCTAGCGCCTCTCGATGCTGTTATACCGACGGCTAACATCTATCTGTCTAGCACCTTGTAATTTGCCAAACACGTTCCCAGCCATTCGCTCTAGAGGCCTCACTACAGCCCCACGAGGTAGGGGCGGGTTGGGGCCCATTTCTAGAGGGTGCTTAGGGCGGCCTGCCCCAGCCCTGCCTGGGAGGTGGGGCCTGGCCCAGGGGACCGGGGCTGGGGCCCCAGCGATGTGGGGACGAAGAGGGGCACCTACCTTCTGGGCCTGTTGGATCATTTGCCTGACCACCTGCTTGAGGTGCGGCGCCTTCTCGTCCTTGGGGGGGTGGGTGAAGAGGGTGACCCGGCTCACGCCGCGGTAGAAACCAGTGTCCGTCCAGCCCAGGTCCAGCGGGGGCACCTCGGTGTCGGAACGGTCGGGCCAGTAGGCCAGGGACTCGCCGGGCTCGGCCGGAGCCGGCGCGGGGGCCTTGGCCTTGGCCTTGCTCTTGCCCCGGGCGTTGGTGGCGGGGGCGGCGTCGGCGGCGTCCTCGTACGGGCTCCAGGCGGCGCAGAGGGCCCGGCGCTCCGGGCTGGAGAGGAAGTCCCGCAGCTGCTCCTTCTTGACCCGCTCGCGGTAGGCCTGCTCGCCGCCGCCCAGCAGCGCCTCCAGCGCGGCCCGCCGCCGTTCGCAGTAGTAGAAGGCGGCCTGTGCCTCGGTCACCTTCTCGTTCACGTGCGCCTCGTCCAGGCAGCTCAGCTGGGACTCGGCCATGGCGCCTCGGCCCCGGCTCTGGCCCCGCCGCGGTCGAAGGTCCCACCGCCGCACCTGGAGCCGCCGAGGGGCGGGGCGCCTCACCTGGCCGCGAGCTCGGGCCCCGGCCCGCCCCGGCCCGCCCCGCTCGCCGTCGGGGAGCGGCCAATCCGCGCGGGAGTAGCCGTCGGGCGGGGAGGGGCCGCCGCCTCCGCCGGGCTCGCCGGGACCTCGGGGTGGCTTCCGGGACGCGGTCGGGCCCGCGCCTGCAGGGGTCACCAGCCCGGGCCCCGAGTCCCCGAGAGGACGCCCCCTGGAGGCGGGGCCGTCGCAGACCCACGTGCGGACTCCGCCCCGACTCCTCCGCTGGGTGAACGTTGGCTGCCCGGCCCTAGCTGCCGTCCGCCCCCGCGGGCCGCGTAGCGGGTGCGCGTTCATTTTCCGCGCACGTGCAGTCCGGAGCACGTGCTCTGGCCGGGTCGCCTCTGGGGCAGCCGAGCTGACCCCTCTCCCGCGTCGAGGGTCGGGTGTGGGGGGGTCCCTGCTGCAGGACGGGATTGTGACGGCTGAGGAGGGGGCAGTGGGTGATCGAAAGCGAAATGCTAATGAGAGCTTAAGCTCCCCACCCTTGCGTCCCAGTTCTGAGATCAGAGGCCTCCGGGGCTGGCAGTCCAACACCTTCACTATAAAAATTTCTTAAAAAAAACAAAACAAAACAAACAAAAAAAAAACAGCCGTCCAAACAGAAATGATGTAAAGACCCGTAGTGGAATTTCCCCCCGCCCGCCCCGCTCCCACTTTAATTTCAAATAGGGTGTGTAGCGTGTGTGTGTTTGGGCAAGATAGGCTGCCAGAGACATGATTACTATATTAGTGATTCAAAATATATGTTTGAGCTCAAGAAAGGAAGGCGCACGTGCGTGCACACACACCACACAAACGCACACACACAGCAGCAGCAGCCCCAGCAGCCAAGGTAGCAGCTCTGCTGTTTCCCATCGGATTAAACACAATCGTCTTAGTCATTAACATATTATGTTGTTCATGCATTGCTGTACAATTTGATTCTCCACATTCAAAATATTTTCAGATCATAACAACCAAAGGTTCATTCACATTTCTCTCATTTTCCAGCACAGCATCTCAGATCTGGAAGGAGCTTTTCCAGCTCCTCCAACCCCCTCATTTTACAGATGAGGAAATTGAGGCCTAGAAACGTGTGCGTTGCCCAGGTCTCCTGTGAAAGAGGCAGAGCACGGGGGCTGCTAGGTTTTCTGTGTCTTAAAGGTCCCTGACATCACGGCCGACTTTCCCCTTTTGCCTTTTCTTGTGAAACGACAGGTTATTGGGGACCTGGTTTTCACCCCAGGGGATTTGAAAAGGTCTCTTACCATTTCTAGGCCTTTCTTTCATGGTCTGAAAACAGGGGACCAAATTTACAAATGTCTGCACTTTTTTTTTTTTGACAATTATCAGTTCCGGCATCCTGTGTCAGCCCAAAGATTGGGGGTGGTGAGCAGCAAGGTGTCTCTCACCTCACTTGTCCTTTACCCCTCTTGGGAACTGGAAAGCGTCACTCCCGGTAATGCTCCACTCTTAAGTACATATAGACAGATTACGTCCTTAGATGGGAGAGCCTCTAGTTTCTTGTCTAATGACTTGAGGCCCTACAAGATGCCAGACTCAATAGTTTGGAGACACACAGGAGCTCAGGGCAGGGGAGGGATAGACAGTAAAACACGGAGGAGGATAGGAGTAATGAGAGTGTTTTAATAAACACAGTCAAATGCTTTGGGAGCAAGTGGGCTCAACAAACATTTACTCAATGCCTACTGTGTGCCGGGTACACAGTGTGTCCCCAATGTACGTTTCTTTTTATTTTCCCTTTTTTTTTTTTTTTTTTTTTTGAGACAGACTCTCACTCTGTAGTCTGGGCTGGAGTGCAGTGGCGGATCTCGGCCCACTGAAACCTCTGCCTCCTGGGTTCAAACGATTCTCCTGCCTCAGCCTCCCGAGTAGCTGGGATTACAGGCGCCCACCACTATGCCTAGCTAGTTTTTTGTACTTTTAGTAGAGATGGGGTTTCACTATGTTGGCCAGGGTGATCTTGAATTCCTGACCTCATGATTCGCCCGCCTCGGCCTTCCCAAAGTGCTGGGACTACAGGCGTGAGCCACCGCACCCAGCCCCAGCGTACATTTTTTAAAGAAAAACTTGGAGCCAAGAGAAAGGTATGTGCAGGGGGCTTATGGGGATATGAGGGAAGAAGCAATCCACCCACTGGGAAATGGGTAAGAAGGGCTTTGCCCAGCAAGAAGGGATTTTGAGTGGAGCCTAAAAGGAGGAGAGGAATTCAAGGTGGAGAGATATATTCAATTGCTATGTAGAGAATGAAGATGAATTTAGGCCAGGTACAGTGGCTCATGCCTGTAACCCCAGCACTTTGGGAGGCCAAGGTGGGCAGATCACCTGAGGTCAGAAGTTCAAGACCAGCCTGGCCAACATGGTAAAACCCTGTCTCTACTAAAAATACAAAAAAAAAATTAGCTGGGTGTGGTTGTGCATGCCTGTAATCCCAGCTACTCGGGAGGCTGAGGCAGCAGAATTGCTTGAACCCAGGAGGTAGAGATTGTAGTGAGCTGAAATCGCGCCACTGCGCTCCAGCCTGGGCAACAGTGCAAGACTCCATCTCACAAAAAAAAAAAAAAAAAAAAAAAAAAAAAAGAAGTCCAACCTCACTAGGTTGTTTGAGAAGGGAAACAGGTTAATGGATATAGACCACTTAGCAGAATGTCTGGTACAGGTAGCAGCCAGGAAAGGGTAGCTAGTGTTAAAATATGGGAAGATGGAACTGGAAGGGGGGATACTGGGGCCAAATTGTGGGTAACTTGACTTTGGGTCTATCCAGTGGTTAAAGGGGAGCCAATGAAGGTTGTTGAGACTGATAGGATCATAAAAAAAATAGCGATTACTATGTGCTATTTTATGTACACTTGGTTTTTTTCTTTCTTTTTTTGAGATGGAGTTTCACTCTGTCACCCAGGCCTGAGTGCCTGGTGCGATCTCGGCTCACTGCAACCTCTACCTCCCAGGTTCAAGCGATTCATAGCTGGGATTACAGGCGCGCACCACTATGCCTGGCTAATTTTTGTATTTTTAGTAGAGACGGGGTTTCGCCATGTCAGTCAGGCTAGTCTCGAACTCCTGACCTCGTGTTCCACCCGCCTTGGCCTCCCAAAGTGCTGGGATTACAAGCATGAGCCACTGCGCCCAGCCTTTTATGTACACTTTAAATGAACCCTGTAATCTTATTAGAAAAACTGTTAGCTGAGCTGAGTGGCTCATATCTATAATCCCAGTTCTTAGGAGGGCCAAGGTAGGAGGATCGCTTGAGCCCAGGAGTTTGAGGCTGCAGTGAGCTATGATTGTACCATTGCACTCCAGTTTGGGCAACAGGAAAAAAAAAAAAAGGAGAAAAACCATTATCCTCATTTCACGAGTGAGAAACCTGAAGCACAGAGAGGTTCAGAAGCTACCCTAGGTCACTCAACTAGTAAGTAGAATAGAATAAGCAGAATTCAAACCCAGACCATCTGATTTCAGAGCCCACCTACCTACCCATTCTGCTACACTGCCTCAGTCGGGAATGTTAGAAAAGAGACATTAAGAAGAAAAAGTATCTCCCTCGTTTAATACTTAGTCCAACAAACATTTGCTGAATGTGTAGCTATGTGTTAAGGGTTAGAAATCATTGGTTTATTTACCAAATCCTCATGGAGTCTTACCAAGCGCAAGGCTGTGTTCCAGGTGCTGGCTGTGAGCAAATCCAGGTCCTTGCCCACCAGGAGCTTATGTTAAACAGAATAATTAAGGCATGGTTTTTGCTCTCAAAGAGCCAAAATGTTATGTGATGTGATTTGCAATTAGACAGAAGGTTAGAATCAGAGGAGACTATTTCAGTAACAGTTGACATTGGGAAAAGGTCTTTCCTAGCTCTAACTAATATGAAACATTGGGTTGTTTTGTGATATTCACCTTTATGTACCAATGACTTACTTATTCAACCAACATTTTGGGGCCTTAATAGATACGCAGAATTAGATAACACGCTTGCCTCTGAGAATAACGCAGAGGAATCAGACGTGATAGCTGGCTGCCCTGGTGACTCCCTTAGTTTAGCTGGGAGTCAAATTCTCACAGCAATCTTTACAAGGCAGGTTGATAAGCGATACTGTGCTACTCACAGAGAGGTTGCAGGCTGTGGAGGCCTTTTAATGTACAATTATCTAATTTGACCTGTTCCCTTTTCCCCAAATCTGTTGAAGTACTCCATAAAAGGGATTACTGTGAGGTGTTACAGATGAATAAACTGAGGCTTCGGGAGGGGAGATGTCCAGTTCAAGGTGATCAGCTGGTGACTGGAAATGGGGGGATGCATGTCTACACAGCCTGATCCCCAGGCTTTCCACCCTCCGGCACAGTGAAGTACTCTGTGCAATGTGATAGAGGTGTTTTCTTTTTTGTTTTTTAGACGGGGTCTCGCTCTGTCGCCCAGGTTGGAGTACAGTGGTGCCATCTCGGCAATTCTCTGCCTCAGCCTCTGGAGTAGCTGGGATTACAGACGCCCACCGCCATGCCGGGCTAATTTTTTTTGCATTTTTGGTAGAGATGGGGTTTCACCATCTTGGCCAGGCTGGTCTCGAACTCTGGACCTCAGGTGACCCAGCTGCCTTCAGCCTCCCAAATTGCCCTGCCGCGATTGAGATTTTTAAAAAAATCTCTTTTTAAAGAGCGGAAACTGATTTCTTTCAGGCACAGGCCCTGTAGATGAAGCTAAGTAATTTCTTTTCCGGGTACACTCCATGAGGCCTTGACACTCTGGGAAAGCCCCTGGTCTTCTCCCGGCCTCTCTCGTCCTGAGTCTGGACTTTGCCTAGGTGGGGCCCAATCATGATTACATTTCCAACTTCAGAGACTACCTTGCCCAAGGTGACTGCAGCCTGCCTAAGAAATCGTGCCTCCTCCAACAAATCCCCCAACCCCGCCTGGCTCCCTCCTCCTTCCTCCAGCAGACAGCCTCTCTCAACAACCACCCAA